TGGAACTCTATGATTGGTCACTATTATAGTTCCACTAGTTTTTTGAAGGATTGTGACACCCTACTAGTTATTTGAGGGGGACCCATGATCCACCGCGTGTGCTATGATTTTGGCCAGTCCACATCACTCGTGTAGTGAGCTTGTGAGAGTAGCCATGCAAATGAAAATAATTTAGCCAGTAGGTCCAGTTGTTAAAAATAAAGAGAATATAAGGTTAGATTTGGGTTTATTGATTGTAGATGACATGAAATCTTTATTGATATTTATATCTTGTGAACAAATGAAAAGTATGATATCTTTTATGATGTGATCAATCGTATGAGGCTGACTAAAATATCTGACTTATTTGGTCATTGTGAATTTAATTGTTAAATAAATGTCTCTTGACTATTACTAAATTCATGTATCCCACATGACACCTCGCTTGCCCCATGCTAGTGTGTGTGATATAAGTAAGGGTTTAGTTACTGAGACGTTGTCTCATTCCTATTGTTTAATGTTTTTCTAGGTCAAAGTTTCACAAGAGGGATGTCAGGGAAGGCTCAAGAGGATTATAGCTATATTAGCAACTTGTAGCACCTCCTCAATCTGTGAGTTATGTTATTTACTACATATTGCCACTTTAAGGCAATCTGTATTTAATTTATTTATGCATTAGTATGTTTTTGTGTTCGTTCAATTGTTTTGCTTTGGTATACATGGTGTTGGTTGGCTAGATGCCTAGGATTGCATGTGATCTTTTATTATGAATTCATTACAAAATGTGGATGAGACTTAATTCTTACTATTTTTGGCTTATCAGCTATGTAATATGTTGTTTATAAGACTATCGAATTCTATTGCCTAGAATGTGTTACAATGTGAAGTTTATTATATATGAATTTATAACTATTGTTAGATGAGATTGATCTTTTTTAACATGGTTTGCATGTGAATGAGCTAAAAAAAGTTCTTTTATCCGTCATAGTATGTATGACTAGGTTCTATTCTTTTCTATCATAGATAATAATATTATATAGTAAGTTGGTTTATATGATCATAATACAATTGAGTTTGTTATTAGCATAGTTTGGTTATAAAAAAATTTTGTTTCTTGAAGTTACTTTGACAAGGTTAAGCTTATCAGTTAATTCAGAAAGGTTCTTTCAAATAGTGGGATTTGTTGTGGGGAGTGAAGGTTCAAAAGCTTTGGTTATGTAGGAATGAAGCTACTTTTAACAACATTTTAATCAACCCCTTTGATTCAATGAATTTGATTAAATATACCTGGAAAAAATTTTGCTATTCGATCTGAACCTGCAAAGCAGCCTTTAACAAGTCAATGTTCACATATGCATGTGAATTGATCTTGTCCAATGGAAGGCTAGGTGAAAATGGATGTTGATGGGACAGTGGCAAAAAATTATAAAAGAGCTGGACACGGTGGTGTTATTAGAGATCAAAATGGGAACTGGATAGTGGGATTCCCTTTTCAAATTGGAAAATGAGTGTGATAGAGGCTGAAACTTGGGCTACATTTAAGGGGTTAAATCTAGCTTGGGACTTCGTCTTTAAACAGATTATTGTTGAGTCTGATGCAAAAATGGTGATTAATAGGCTGGCCAAGTTCTAATGCTTGGTGTAATTTCATTATGGAATCGATCAAGAATTTGTTGTTTTATAATTGGGAAGTGCAATCGCAATATGTTGCGAGGAAGGGAAATGAAGTTGCTAATATTCTAGCAAAAAAGGGAATTACTTCATCTACTTATTCTGATGTGTGCCTGTGTGATTTGAGGGGTCTTCCGCACAAAGACAGCTTGGGATTTAAGCCCTCTCTGTGTTAGTTTTATTTTTGTTTTGGGCTAGGCCCTCTTTTGTATTGGGGTAAAAAAAGGATTGCATGGTGTAAAAAATCATACTCTTTCTTTCTACCAAATAATAATAATAATTATATGAACCTTATTTGATTTGAGTTAGTCAAAATTTAATGTGACTTTTAGAAGTTGATATATTAAAAAGACTATTCATTTGATTCTTAATGTAGGACCTAATTAAAGGGTTAATATTAGTCCTATATGTAAGACCTATTTCACATGCTTATCAATTTTTTTTCAAATTAACCCAATTACTATTCCCCCAACAATAATCAAGTAGAAGAGAAAGAGAAAAAATTATGAAAGATGTTTAGGGTATTTTAGAAAAAATATATCGTATTAACTAATTTAACTAACATCTTTAATCTATTCCAATCAATTAATTAGATGTTACGTTAAGTATTGGAGTAGTATATCATTTGTGTCTTGTCAAGATAAGAAGGACTTCTAATTTTTAAGTGCAAATCTTACGTGTCTTAGCAAAGGAACCAAACTAAAAGATAGACTGTGAGAATGATAATGATAACAATGAGAGCCTAACTCTTTAAAGGGAGGGGAAGAGTAAAGAATTTTAAAACATCTCAATCGTTACTATTTCTTCCAAAAGTGAGAAAGAGGGAAACAAATCTTTATCTTTTCTTGAGCACACATCCTTTCATTGGAAACAAGTTTGTTCATGGCATCATGGGATATTAAATGTGAGTACCTTTTTCAGTCAAAATTTATACCTTACTTCGTCATGTTATGAGATATTAACTCTTTTTTACTAGATTTAATTCTTTTTGCTAAAGTATAAGTATCTTCCTATTATAAGCAATCTTATTCGAGATACTGTCGGGTACTAAATGTGAACACCTCTCTCACTGGGGATTTAAACTTTGATTTACCACGTTATAGCAGATTAAACCCTTCTGCTAGACCCAACCTCTATTAGTTACTAGACTTAATTCTGTTGGTGAAGCTAATGTTTAGTTTCAACAGTATTCGAAGTTGGGGAATGCCCAACTTGACCATAATTTGCATGGACAGTTATTCTCGACCCATTATATTGGGGCATGTATGACTGTGGGCTGGCCCATCTCCAAGAGAAGGTACGCATGATGGTTACGTTGCGTCCCTTGCACTTCAAATGAAATACTATTCATGCTGCAGAAAAGGAAGCAAAGGCGGTGCGTGAAACTTATAAATCATCACCATCATCCACACATAATAAATTTCCACGCATCAATATTGAATATATACTATAATTTAATATATTCAATATTAATACATAATAACAATAAAATGTCCTTTCTTTATATATATATATATATATATATAGAGCTATAAATCTAACATCAACCATACTATTTATGATTTTTGAATAGGGTCATGTTTGAGGTAGGGTTAAGTATCAAACGTAGACACACATGTTAACAATAAGTTACTTTAACTGCAGCGCCACTTATTACTCTTAAATAAAGTCCACATGTTTATGTACGTCCCTGTGTTTAGTTATATAAAATGAAAAATGTAAGCACATATTTTTGAATCCTAATTGGATACTCTAAGTAAGTATTCAAACATAGTTTTAGGGCATGTGGTAGATTAATTTTTTTCTTAAAAAAATATTATATAAAAATAATTTATTTGGAGTCTATCCTTGGGCTATGAACATTGAACAAGTTATGATATCTACAGTATCAAATCATGTTGATAATCAATATTGATATGAATTTGAATGTTCTTTTTTTTAGGGTTAATTAATTCGCAAGTCCTTATAGTTTCAACGAATTTTAAATCAGGTCTCTATAATTTTTTTTCTTTTTATCAGGTCCTTATACTTTTATCTTTTTTTAATTAGGTCTTTGTATTTATTTTTTTTTAATTAAGTCCTTATAATTTCACTAAATTTTTAATCAGGTCCATGTAGTTTTAATTTTTATTTATTTATTAAATATAAGCTTAATTAAATAGATTAATACTGAAATATAAAATATTAATAATTAAATTAAATTAATAATTATGTAATAAAAAAAGTAATCGAATTAATTAATTCATAAAATTTTTTTAGAACACTTAATTTTTTTGCTGAAAAAATTAAAATCATTATAATAATTCAATATCTTTAGAATATTATTGTTTATAAAGTAATATTAAATAATATATACTATTTTATGTTTATATAATAGTACTATTAGAATTTATAAAATAAAGAATAAAAAATTCAGGGACTTAATTAAAAATAAGGTGAACTTATAAGGACTTGATAAAAAGAAAAATAAATACAAGGACCTAATTAAAAACAGGTGAAAGTATAAGGACCTGATAAAAAGAAAAAAAACTATAAGGACCTGATTCAAAATTAGTTGAAACTATAAGGAGTTGTGGATTACGTATCCCTCTTTTTTATGATCCCAACTTAATATGAATATTCATTTTTTCCCCAAATTAATATAAATATTCATTGATATATGAAAAGAAGGAATAAATGAGTAGTCACAAACATTGAACGGTGGCATGGCTCATCAGGCAATTTTAGTGAGGTGCGGGCCCATATTTAGTTAATCATTAAATTTTTTTGGGAAAATTAATCTTTTGGTCCCTATAGTTTTCACTAATTTATAAATCAGTCCCTGTACTTTGACTCGGTGCAACCAGTCCCTCTAGTTTTGACTCGGTTGTAACTCAGTCCTTGAAGTTTGACTCGCTGCAACTCGGTCCCTATAGTTTTAATCATTTTATAATTTAATCTCTCCTTTTATTATATATATAATTTTATTTTTCAAAAACACAAGGACTAAATTATAAAATAGATAAAACTATAGGGACCGAGTTGCAGCGAATCAAACTTCAAGGACTGAGTTACAAACGAGTTAAAACTAGAGAGACTGAGTTACACCGAGTCAAAGTATAGGGACTGAGTTACACATGAGTAAAAACTATAAGGACTAAAAGATTAATTTCCCAATTTTTTTAGGTGAAAATAAATCTTTTAAAAATTTCAAGTTGTTAGCAGATCTGAACCATTGGTTAACCGACATCAAATAACTGAACAACGTGGCAATCATCTGACGGTCAAGCTGATGACTGCGTTCCTTTTCAGCACTTTTTCGCTGTTCGAACTCTCCATATAACGCCCGGTTGCTTGCTTGGTTTCTGTTTGCACTTCGCCGTCTCCGTTACTGATCAGTTCCGTCTCTAACCCTAGCAAGAAATCGTTTCTTTCTAAATCCCAACATGTCCAGCGCCGAGCCCGAACACCGTGAAGAGGAGGAGGCCCCCGCCGGCGAGGACGAGGACACCGGGGCTCAAGTTGCCCCGATTGTTAAACTCGAGGAAGTTGCCGTCTCTACCGGCGAAGAAGAGGAGGATGTTCTTCTCGACTTGTGAGCAAATAATTATGGAGTATCCCCCCCTTATCTTATTAGTTATTAGGGTTTGAGTTGTTTAGTTGCTGAAAATCTAGGTTTTTTTGCTCAATTATAGAAAATCGAAGCTTTACCGATTTGATAAGGATGGGAACCAGTGGAAGGAGAGAGGCGCGGGTACTGTGAAGTTTCTGAAGCACAAGGCTACTGGAAAAGTTAGATTAGTGATGAGGCAATCGAAAACCCTTAAGATCTGCGCTAATCATCTCAGTAAGTCTGCTTCTTGATCCGTTTTATCTCCAGTTCTTTTGCTTTTTGATCTTCTTGTATTAAATAGCATGTTTCCTTGTCATCCCTTGCAGTTATACCATCAATGACGGTGCAAGAACATGCTGGGAACGAAAAATCTTGTGTTTGGCACGCGAGTGATTATGCCGATGGTGAACTAAAGGATGAGCTTTTCTGCATTCGATTTGCGTCAATTGAAAGTATGTTTGCGCGTTTGGGTTATGTGAAATTCAGTTCGAACTATCTGTTGAATACTATACTGCTCGTCTGCTCCTAAATGGAAGAACCATTATGGATCTTACATTTAGGACAGGAGGAGTAATATATATTACAGCTATTGTTCCTTAGGTTTACTGGCTCTTACAGTTCAAGCTGATTTTGTTATTTGTGTATGGCGAGTATAGTTTCTCTGATCGTCTGGAAATTTAATCTTTGATTAATTGTGGTGGCAATCGTAGTCTTCCTCCTTTGTATTTGTTTGGTTCAAAAAGGGATATTTTGGTAGACGATCTTCACTTAGTAATGCGTAATTATGTAGATCATGTTCCTAAGAGGTTCAAACTTGTCATTCTGCTTTATTCTTGGTATACTATGAATTAACTGCCCACATCGGATGTGTGACATTTAGTAATGTTCTGCCCACTCCCCTAAAACCAATGAAGGGGTGATCTTTATGTGGTCTAATGTTAAAATGTTTGCTTGCCACGTACTACACTGTTGATAATTAAGACAAAATTTTCAGGAGAACTACATGCCTTATGTATTCTATTTCATAGGTCTCATAGATTTCTGTAATTATGATCACAAGTTATAGGATTTTGTTTTTCATGTTGTCTTTTAGACTTCATCTATGGAGCTCTGTTATTTAGCCATGCCCACTGGAGTTTTATGACTTCACTGAAGGAAGCTGATTTCAGTAGTTTGTTATATATTTGAACTGAAATAAAAACAGGTTCATGGATCACCACAATAAGATGGATGTTGAGGTTTTGGATATTAATTTAAGCTCATCATAATGATGGTCTCGAGGCGTTAGAAGAGAGTAATGGAGCTGTTTCACGATCCATTTTATTAGTGTTGATAGTTCTTAGAAGCCTCGTGGTCTGGGACCCAGTTGAAATGTGGGTACACATAGGCATTCTCACCTTACATGATGACGTGCAGACTTTCTAGAGTTGCAACCTTATATTTTTAATATTTTTCTTACTTTATCAAGAGTTCATTATATTGTCTCAGTGTTTGAAGTGAAATGGTTTATGATCACATTCAAAGGAGAGTGAATGAAGGATGTTATGTTCCTTGCTTAGTGATTTGCATGTGATCCATGTGATGATGTGCACAAATTTTAGCTTCTTTCCCCCCTTTTTGGGTTGTCTGCAGTGTGTTAATGCAGTCATGGATGAGGGTGGGGTATTGAATAGTTTTATAATTTGCATTTCTTTTGATCCAGACAAGAGTATAGGCAAGAATATGATGTTTTGCGTTGCCACTGAAAAACATTATTATCTTTTGTATCTTCATATACTAACTGGCGCTTTGTCTTCTCCAATAGATTGCAAAACCTTCATGGAAAAGTTCCAAGAGATTGCTGAATCCCAGAAGAGTAAAGAGGAAAACAAGGATGCAACTGCTGCTGCGGGTCTCCTTGAGAACTTGAGTGTTAAAGAGAAGGAAGAAGCAGAGAAGAAAGATACGGAGAATAAAGACACTGAAAAGAAAGAGACAGAGAAGGAAGAATCTGAGAAGAAAGAGACAGAGAAGAAAGATGCAGGAGAGAAAGGTGATGAGCCTGCATCCTCGTCAGCTTAAGTATAATATTTTCATATTTGATTATTTCCTGCTACTTAGGAACATGGCAAGGCTTGGTTCCTCTTTTCTGCCCTCATCTTGGGATGTTCAGTCTTTGGATTGTGTCATGTCATGGAAAATGCTATTGAGAGGTCTGTTTTGTCTGGTGTCCTTCAGAGGAGTTTGGTTCGGTTTGAAGTTGTTGAGGGTTGTGATTCTGGGATCTGGGAGTTTACTAGTTTAGTTTAATTTGTTGCTGGTTTTCATTCATGTCGGTTGGGAGGTTGCCATCGGGAGCTAGCGAAACAGAGGTTTTTGGATACAAAATTGTTTGATTTGCACATTTTTTTCAAGAGTTGATTCTACGCCGGTATAATCACTTGCGGCTGTATTTTCTCCTTTTCTGAGCTGAAAACTAGGCTTCATATTTACGCCTAACTTTTTAAATCAGTCCAATTTTTAATGGGAAATTGGAATGAGTTCAACTTGAAAAACTGGAGAAGTTGGGTGTAAAATCTGAGTAAAGAGAAGATGCAATATGAACGGGTAAACAAATATTTAAAAGTTTTTAATTCCATTTTTAAGAGAAAATGACAAAAAAAATGCCATGATGATTACTTTTGTAAGGGCTTTGATTATTTTTGTAATGTCAAAATAATTTATATCATTTTGAGTTGAGTAGGTGTATTTTTGTCCCTTTTTAAATTTTTTTTTTATTGTCTTCGTGTTGGGGAGCGCAGGATGAAAATCGAAGTCGGATAAATAAGATGCTTATTGCTAGTGTTTCCTGCTCTTTTCTCCAGCAATTTAGGTCTTTTCGTGGAAAAGCACTCTTGAGCCTGTTTTATTGGGGGTCTGATTGGATGGATGTGAGATGAAAATTTTTTTTTTGGGGGGGGGGGGGGGGGGGGGGAGGATGGTGGGTTTTGTGCTGTGGGGGAGCTGCTGGCTAGCGAGCACATGTATGTTTACACGGTGAATCTGTTGTAAGCAATATGAAAGCTCGAGTATGTTCTTAAGGTTCGTTTTTAATAAACCAGAAAAAAAGGGAGAGATGAATAGAAAGTGACGGATGACCGATGCTGTGTCACCTTCTCTCTTTAGTATGAAAAAGAGTTGATAACTAATTCATAAATATTAAAAAAAAATTAGTTAAATTAGTTATTTGTTATGAATATATATTATTTTTTTAAAAGTTATGTATATTAAATAACCGGAATTGCTTACATTTTTTTTATAATTAATAACAATATTTAAAAAAAGATAAGAGATACTGAATTAAGTTTTTATATTTAGAATTAAATTTAATTTTTAACTAGTTTTTATATTAAAAATTAGAACTAGTAATTCATATTTTGCTTGTTAATTATCTGCAATTTAAGGGATGAGGATGAGCGAGCAAGCTTGTTTTTGTAAATGAGTATGTTTTAATGAATTTACTTAATAACATAGATAAATAGGCCGCTGTTTTTTTTTTTTGGGTTGACAATAGGCCACTGTTTACAAAAAGGAGAATTGACTTGAAGTATCTTTTTTGGTGTGTCTAATATGTTAAAATATTTTTTTGGTGTTTCTAACATCAAGATAAGGTATTGTTGAGTATTAAATATGAGTATTACTCTTAATAAGAGTTAAAATATTGGATTGTCACGTTGTGAGTGATTAGTTTTTTCTGCCAGATTAATCCTTATTAATACTAAATATGAGATTTTAATTTGCTCTATCTCTGAAATTTGTACTCAATTTTTTTCTTCAAAACATCACTATTGATTGCACATAATAAAAAGATTTCTATCAAGAGATAATTACAATGCACATGATTGAAAAGTGTATTCTAAAAAATTCAATGCACATTTTTTGAATAATTTGACTAATTTTTTTAATATCTAAAAATTAATTATTCAATTTTTATATTGTAGGCGGAGGGAGAATAAAATAGCTGCAACAGATACTTGCTACAAAGTCATAGGGTACGGGAAGACGTTCCATTGGTTGCGTTTCATGCGTACACTTGTTGCATTCATGTGACCCACAAGGAGTTAATTTGCCCTTGCTGTTACTGTTCAAAAGTTCTACCTCCGATTGATTTGCCGCAGAAAAAAGGCATATTACTTTGAAGTCTCATTCACTGATTGACTTGAGTAAAAGTCGATTATTCAATTTTATCAAAATCATTTTTTTATAAAAATTTATTCTTAAAATCGTCCTTTTCTGAAAAACTATTTTTGAAATCATAATTTGGATTCATCCAAACATCTTCTAACTCTAACTCAAGATTTTATGTTTATAAGTAGCCAAAACTACTTTCACTAGAACCACACTTTTTGGTTATATGTGGAGCTTCTTTACTATGCAATATAGGATCACTCACTGGACACAGACACATTGGACGTTCTTGATTATCCTTACCATTAATTATCTATCTTCAAATCAAGAGAATCAACAATAACATGATGATTTTCGCTCTTCACAAATTTCCTAATCCAAGACTCAACATTCCGATTTAATTTTCAATACTTAGGTCCTAAAATATTTTAAAGCAAAGAGTTACTGATGCAACAGTACTTTATTAATCTTTAATGTGACTTGTATTATTAATCTTTAATGTGACTTCTATAGATGCTGGTCATCCGTCACAGGATTAGTGGTGATGGGAGCTTCTAGGACATCCACAATTAGCATAGGTCAAATTGATTGATTAGCCTAAATTTAAAACTTAGTGCTGTATATGTTGAGCGGAGCTCCTTTTGCTAAATTTTTGCTACTGCATTCTGTAGAACATTCTAGGAGGTCCCATTTGCAAAGAGGAAGCTTTTTTTTTTTTTTTTGGACCAGCAAGCAAAGAGGAAGCTTATTACTTTTGTTATATAAAATATATTCATGGACTTTATATTATGTATTGCTTATTGGGTGCAAATCAAGCTGTCACATTTTTTTTTTTGCTAAAGCATAGGTATTCTCCCATTGGAAACAATCATATTCGAAGCACTGTCAGGCACTAAATGTAGGCACCTCTCCCAATAGGGATTCGAATCTTGGTTCACCACGTTATGGGAGACTAGCCCCTTCTGCTAGACCCAATCCTCATTGGTAGCTCTTACATATTTTATGAATCATGTTTCAGCCACTTTGGGAGGGAAAAGAGTTTCGGCTCGAAGCAACCGTGTCTAATTGTTTTCTTTTTTTTATCAAGTTAATATAATTTTTATTCTTGTTTATCCCATTTTGATTTCAATCTTTCAAGTTTCCAATAATAGGTTTTGGCTTTTAAGTTTCTTTCCATTTAAAATATTATCCCTATAATTTAATAAAAACTTAAATCATTTTGTCCATTAATGAACTAAAGCTTATATATGGTTTGAAATTTGAAGAATCAAAACTAAAATAAAGACAAGTTTGAGTGGTCAAAGATTATGTTAACTCTTTTAAGTCAAACTTTTTTTAAAATAATGATTAGTTTTGCAATTTACAAAAGATCTCATATTAGATATGAATACAAAGAAAAATGTGTGCATAAGAAAGATAAATCTGATGTGGATCAAACAGTTTCAGCCAACTTCATAAGGAATTCCTCCAACCCCCCCCCCCCCCTAATTTGAACTTGTCTTATGTTGGTCTTGTTCAGTATCAATAAGAGAAAGCCCGGCGCAAAGCACCTTTGAGAATATATATTTAGTACATAACGCGTATCCGATTCCACCATAAAAATAAGAACTTAGGAAAGATCATCTTGCGAACATCACAACATTTTCAAACACAGCACTAGACTTCTTTTCTCTGCTCCTAAGAGCTCTCTTAATAAATCATAACACATCCTTTTCAGAGTTCTAATCAAATGGCATTCTCAAGAGTAATAACATAACCACAATGAATTAATGACAACTTTAAATAGTCCCCCTGCTTATATTTATTTTTAAAAAAAAGTATAATCTTTAGTACTTTAAGTTTGTCATTATTGGTTCTGGCCTCTCAACTTTCAAACCATAGGTTTTGATCCCTATAGAGACAAAATGATCTAAGTTTTTATTAGGTTATAGAGATTAATATTTTAGATAAAAAAAAACTTGAAGGATCAAAACCTATAGTTTAAAGTTTAAGAAATCAAAACCAAAATGAAGATAAAATTAAATGATCAAAATTTATATTAACCCAAAAAACAATTAGCGATTCCTTCTGCAATGAATCATATCAGAGTTGTATCTTTATAACTGTTGCCAAACTATCCAATAACCTCAAATGCCATAGATTTGACAGTCTTAAAATGATATGGACTTGTATGTGTGTGCAGGGATAATTAACTTTCGAAGTTATGACAATGTCAACGAAAGAAGAACATGTAAATTATTAGAGACATGAAAGGTTGCAACTATAGTAGGCAATTGCACAAGGCAAAACGAATTAGAGCCCAAAAAAAAAAATGTAGTCAAAACACAAATGTTAATAACCAACAGCATTTGTTATCGAACATCTCCATTCATCATCCAAGATAACATCTCCAAGGGGCATTAATGACTCCAATAACAGTCAAATGATCTAAACTGTCATTGGTTTATCTCTACCAAAATTATAATCTTCTGAGGTTTCGGATGAAGCCTCTTCAAATTCAATGTCGATTTTGCCAACTGATACAAGACTTTCAACACGATTGAAAAGAACTGATTCACCACTGCCACATTTGGGGATTGCAACTTTTTTTTACTTCATGAGTATTGAGATTTAACAGAGATAGAACAGTTATCGGTCTGATGTCCTTTGCAGGTATTTCCTCAACGGTGCAAACAATATCATTCCTCCAAATACTGAATGGATGCAGAAGCATGCCTGGTCCAACTCCACCTCTCTCCAGATGCACTTGTACCCTCCTCCAACACCCACAATTCGATCAGACAAGATGGAGGTCTAATGTCTATAGTTATAGTGTGAGAAAGCAAAGCAAGCTTATTATCATACACAGTAAGTTAACGACATGAAAATAAGTCCAAAGCAGGCAATGGCATCCAAGAAAAAACCTCCTTTGTAACGTCAAATGAAAATATCAAATCAACATCCTCGGCCAAATCTATCTTCAACACACGCCAAAACATCACTCCATTAACAGTGAAAGTTTCAAAACAGCGTATTTTACCCTCAAAGTCAAAATCTATTTCCTTCCATAACCCTGTGATTAATGAATACACTTCCACTTGTTTAACAAGAAGATCAATGTCAGAAACTAAAAACCTAACTATCTTGTAGTCATTAACAATTTTCACTGAACCTAAATCCTAAATGATGATCACCCTTATATTCATTGGTAATTTCTACAGGCACCGGTCTGACCTCTCTGATGGCAGGATTCCATAAGAAAATGGAGTAATCTGTTGCGGCACAGAGCAACCCATGGCTGGAGCCGATGATTTTAGGACGCAAAAAGAAAAAAGGGGTATCGTGAACTTCACGGACTTGCATCTCGCAATCAAGCAAGTATAAGAAAGATGGGGTTTTGACTTCTTGGGGGATGGAGTTGGTCTGCGACGAAAGAATGTAACAAAGTGCGTAACAAAGGAAAGGGTTCCGAAAAAGAAGCGAAGGGTTTTGAAGACCTGAATCATGGAGGTGGTCTTCCACAAAAAAACGGGGTCTTGATGAGATTTTTCCAATGCTTGCAGACACACTGAACTCGAATTAAGGTTTTTACCGGAAGTCGCTTGAGAATGTTTGCGATGATATCTCGGGTAAGAAATGGTAGGTCGCCATCCACTGCCATCTGCTTCATCGTCGTGCTTGACTGGGAAGAAGGGTCTCTCAGGCGAAAGCTGGCCTCCTGAATTCAATGCATATATGCTTCTCCACCCCATATTAGATGTCAGTTTTAAATTATTTTAATCAGATTGAAGAAAGCTAGTTACAAGTACTTTATGTTATTAAAGGAGTGTTTGGATGAAACCAAACTATGATTTGGAGAATAGATTTTGTGAAAAAATGAGTATGATAAAGTGGGAGTATTTGGATAGTTGTTATTATAAGTACTTTTTATATATGCAAATTAGTAAAAAAAGTATAAGTTAATATGATAATTACATAAAAATAGATTTTATAATATGTTTTAATTTGAAGGAATAAAATTGTTAATAATATATTTTTTACCAACATAAGTAATAATATATAAGATAATATAATTAATAAATAATTAATATATTTATAAAATATAAAATTAAACATGTTTATAAAAAAATAATTAATGGGTGTCAAAATCATATTATCATTGAGATTTACTCTGACAGACACTCTGACATTCTCTAATTTGAGTCAGAAGCAGAATGGATTCACTTCTTCTAAAACTATAGTTTTGAATCCAAAATCATGTTTTAGCCTAAACCATGGTTTCTCTAGAATTGTCGCTCTCTAGCATTCTCTTTTCCCAAATCATGGTTTGGGTTGGGGAGACACCCAAATAAGCCCTCTTATTTGTCTTAGTAAATTTATTAATTTTTAACCTATAAAAAGAAAACCGACAGAGCAATTAATCCGAGTATCTACAAGCTCAAGGGCATTAATTGTTCTATTTGAATAGTAAAATTTGCATTATTTAGTTGGCAAAAAAAATACTGCATTATCTAGTATTCAGTAAAATGAAATCTAAACTATCCAAAATTTTATTGAAACAATTTAGATTTAAAATCCTTAATATACTATTTAGTAATGATAAATTTATTTTTTAAGATAAGATATGAATAATCTAAAATCTGATTTGATGAATTGCTTGGTATTTTAGTTAAAGTGAAAATTCAAATGAAAATTTTTTCATGAGGTAAAAGTATTAGTTTAAAATTTTAAAAGAGACGAAATTAGAAAATTGTGCTTCAATAATTGGATCCGTTTGGAATCCACTGGTTTTTTGCTGGAGGTATATGGCTGCTATGGAATGAGGAGGAAAACAATGTGAAGTATACATGTTCTACAACCCAGTTGCTGCACGTTAGCGTAGAAAACAAGCTTAATAATTTTTCTGTCCTCTTATCTTGCATTTCTGCTGAACCTTGCCATAATTTGAGAAGACAGCTGTGGGCAGATCTTGTTAATTTAAGTGGAAATGTTAATGATCCTTGGCTTGTCTTGGGGGACTATAATGCTTATCTCAGACATGATGACAAAAGGGGTGGATCAAGTGTTAATACTCTTTTTATGAGACAGCTTGAAGAATGCATTCAAGAGGTTCATTTGGTCGAAGTGGAGAATGTTTGCGAAAAATTCACTTGGGAAAGAGGCTTATTGATGGAAAGGATTGATTGAGCTTTGTCGAATATCGATTGGTTAAATCTTTTTTTCCTAACTAAAGTTTATACACTGAATAAATTTGGCTTTGACCATAAAGCTTTATTCCTGAAAAGTGTGCAGGAGTAGACCTACAGGATTACCTCACCCCCATTCAAGTGCCACGCAGCGTAGGTCCTTGAAAATGATTTTGTGGATATTGTCCAAAGATGCTGGGTTTCTGGGAGTTGGGATGAACAGGTTAAGGCCTTTACTCAGGAAGCTTCTATGCGGAATAAAGAGAGAATTGGAAACTAGAGTATGAAAAACACGCCTTTTGAATGCAATTGAAAAGATAAAAAAAGCAAGAGGAAGAAGAGATTCTCAATACTTGTCGCAAACTGAACAAGAACTTTGGCAGGAGTACCAAAAAGTTTTGGCTCAAGAAGAGATGAGGTGGTACTAAAATCACGAAGTAATTGGCTCAAATAGGGAGATCGAAACACCAGTTTTTTTCATGCCCAGGCGACTATGCACTGAAGAAGAAACCATATTGAGGGGTTGAAAAACAGGGAGGGAGAATGGATTTTCGATTAGAGTGAACCGAAGAAAATGGCTTTGGAATTCTATCAAAACCTCTTTAAGTCGGAGTCTAGTGGAATGACCGACTTGCATACTTCAAACCATTTTCCATCAATTGACCCACAGGTTTTCCAAGGACAGGAAGCTGCCGTTAGTAATAAAGAAATTAAAGAAGCAGTATTTGACACAAGTGCTTTTAAAGAGCCAGGATCGGACGGTATTCAAGCCTTCTTCTACCAATAATACTGGAATGTTGTGGGAACTTCAATTTGCAATTTGGTTTCAGACATGCTAAGGGAACCGTCTAGCATCTCACATATCAACAGCGTAAATTTGATCTTGATTCACAAGATTGATTAGCCAAAAACCCTACAGGATTTTTGTCCCATCTCTTTGTGTAATGTGATTTACAAAGTCATTATGAAGATCATTAGTAGACGACTCAAGCACTTGATGGGTGTGTTGGTGAGTAACCATCAATGTAGCTTCATAAGGGGAAGACAGAGTAGTAACAATATCATAATAGCCTAAGTGATACACTTGATGAAGAAAAAAAGGGTAGGAAAGGATGGTTGGCGGTGAAGGTGGACCTTGAGAAAGCATATGACAGATTAGAGTGGAGTTTCATCTATGACACTAATAGCTGCAGGGTTACCAGGCTCTCTGCATAACGTTATCATGGCTTGTGTTGTGAGTCCCTCATTTAGAGTTCTTTAGAATAGAGACCCCATAGAATAGTTTAAAGCCTCAAGGGGTATTAGACAAGGAGATCCTATCCCTCCCTACATTTTTACCCTCTGTATGGAGCGACTCAACCATCTAATTAGAGATTCAGTGGGCGAAGGAGAGTGGAAACCAATACAGATCAATAGAAGAGGGCCACCTTTGTCTCACCTGTCGTTTACCGATGATCTAGTCTTGTTTGGTAAAGCTTTTGAGACACAGATTGAGGTGATGATGTAATGCTTAGACAATTTTGTGAAGCATCAGGACAAAAAGTATATAAAGGCAAAATGAAAGTTTGTTTCTCTAAAAATTTCTATTTCTCTAGAGCACTAACTATGAGTTAGAGGATAGGAGTTGGACTAACCGGAGACCTAGGGAAATATTTGGGCTTTCCTCTCATACACCATAGAGCCTCTTACAATATGTTCACTCTAATTTTGGAAAAAATGAGCAAGAAACCAGTCAGTTGGAAGAGGAAGCTTTTGAACTTGGCAGGAAGGGCGACTTAGATCATATTTGTGATAACAACAGTACCATCTTATCATATGCAAACAATGCTCCTATTCAAAAAACTATTAGGGGAAATCGAGAAGAAAAGCAGGCAATTCTTTTCAAGGGGAAATGATGATGAAAGAAAGATGCACCTTGTCTCTTGGGATGTGATCACAACAGAGAAACAAAATGGAGGCTTTGGCATGAAAGATCTACACAAACATAATGAAGCTTTCATAATGAAATTGTGCTAGGGTATGATTTGTAGACGTGATGTGCTTGGGGTGCAGGTCCTTCGTGCAAAGTATAAATGTGGGGAGGAAGACACTAGTGCAAAATACTGATTTAGCTACTACTTTTGTGTCAGTTACACAAGGAACAGAAGTAGTATATAAGTTGGAAACTTTTCGCTTCAATTCTTCACAAACCTGATGCTATAAGCTAACATATGGCTTCTGTTCAATATATTGAACAGACTTCATAAGTATTTATAATGATTTTAAATTATTTTTCATTATATATATTAGCTCTTATCCTCTATAAAACAAACATATAATTACTTTACTTTCATTTTCTTAACTTATGCAAAGAAAAAATTTAATCTTTTAATTCAAATACTTGAGTTTTAATTAGTTTTTAAATTATCTTACTCTTTTTACAAAGTTAAAAGTTTTTCTTTTTTTATGATAACCTTGCTTCTAATTGATTTTATAATTTACATTTAATTGTTTGTAAATATTTTTATATACAGATAAAAAGGAGGCATTTATTTTTTATTCTACGGCCTTTGGTTCATGATAAAGCAGTAGCCATTGGTATTTTTCAAATCTCCTGCGTCTGATGCAAAATGGATAGTCGTCGTATACCTTCTCATCTATGGTTTCTGGTCTAAATTTGGCTAGCCACCATAAGTATTTTTTTTTAATGTACAGTGTCTGTTCCATGTTTGGACGAGACACCACAAGTTGTTCTTATATTTAAAAAAAATCTGCCCTTTCCCTCCGTCCATTTATTTTTAGCGCGCCTCTTCCTTTCGTCTTGTCTGTCTTCTTTGTTCTCACTAGCAATCTTCAGTACGCGTGGGTCTTCTTCTCTTGCTTTGCTCTTCGACTCTACTTGTGGGTTTCGTTAGGCATTTTCTTCAGTACGCCATGAGTTTCACCTCCTACACCCTTTTTCACTTTCATTTTGTTCATGTTTGTTCTCATTATTGTGGCTCCTTTCTGTGGGTGTGTGATGATGGCATGTTGGTTGAAATATCTTCTTCTTTTTCTATTTTCTCCACCATGTTCGATTTTGTTGTCAAGGTTGATCTTATGGTGCAGGGGAAACTAGCCCTAGCGGAGAACCCCGGAGGAGGCATCGCGACAGCCAAAAATGCCGAAGTCCATGTGCAATAAAATAGGTTTTATTTTTGTTAAGCCTCTTCTTAGATTTTTCTATGCTCAATGCTCTTGTTCGTTGATTGGCGAGGAAATTAGGATTCTTGTTGACGCTATTAATTTTTTTCCTGTTTAAGTCATTTGTTCATTGAACGAGTTTGAGTTTTTAAAATGTCTTTTCTACAAGAGAAACAATAGATTTCATATCCTCTATTTTCCCAGCACGATTTCAGCTTATAAAGTGCACAAAATCAATCGATTTAATCATAGAGAAATGCCATTAGATTTGTAGCATTTGAAGTGGAGTCCTTTTTGACGTAACCGAGTTATTCTTGCCTTTTTTTTTTTTATAGTGTTGTGTTCATCTTGTTATTGCATTGAAATATATTGGCTATTGGCCTGTGATAGTGAACAAGAGAAGCTCAAATCTTCTTATTGTGAAAACATATCGAAATGATGGCATCGAGTTTCTGAAAGGTCACGGCTTCTAAGTAGACGGGCAGGTTCATATATCGAAAACTCAAACCTTTTTTGAAGTTTTAAAATTCAATCATGACATCTCAATAGAGTACTTATTTTTCGTTCTCGTGTTCTGTTTCCTCCTCTCCCTTCTTTGCTATTTCAAGCAGCAAGTCCACTATTTAGGTACGATGTGAACTGATAGACTTGAATTTCAAATAAACTGATCCATTCACTTTTTTGACTATCTTTCAGTCGTTTGATTGAGGTATATCTCATTGAGTAGAATGAATTAACAAAAATATTTGTGTTTGAATTAAGACCAATTCCTCTAGTTATTCTCTTGGGGATATAGGTAATTTTGATATTTTTTATATTCGTATCCATCAAAACAAGCATTTGAGTGTTCTCCATTCAGCCTCGAATAAAAGCAAGATATGCTATAAGGAGGAGTTGTTTAGATCAACGAAGTGGAAATATTCTCATATTAGAAATCAACACTTAATCATCATTATAACATATGTTTTAGCATCAACCAGCCTACTACTTACATAGCCAGGGTAACACACACACACACACACACTGTAAAACCCTTAACCTCAAAAACATTATAACTCGTCATAAAATCACTACTATGGTAGAAAAGGAAATCTGTTAAAATGAACTACCATAGTAGAAAGAAATTTGCATATTTTTAGAAGTTGACTTTCAAGCTCGGGTCAAACCCAGACTCCGTTGCATGCAACTAAAAAATCATTCATTAACATCTACTGGGCCTCCGAGCCTCCAGCCCGAGTAACAACACACATCTAAATGGTTTCTAACACAATAAAATAGAGTTTCATAAGACACCAGAAATGGCCTCCGGCTAACCAAAATAAGGAGATAACATTCTCTCCAGTTTACAACAAGGCCGGGAAAACAAAATATTTCAAAGGATTCTAACTGTGACAATATACAACTAGCCATACATAAACAAAGGCTAGAGGCCTAAAGCTAACCAAGCTCAAGCCTCTGCGTCTCTTCCCGAAGGCACACGCTCGGAACCTTCACCTGAAAACATTGTAAACCACGGGGTGAGACAAACATCCCAGTAACCAACCTTTCCAATTCAAGGTACTACTAAATAGGTGCTCGTAAGGTGTCAAGTAGGGGTGAGCAAAACCGAACCGAACCGAAATTAATTCGGTTTTTTCGGTTCGGTTAATTCGGTTTTTATTTTTATTTTTGGTTATTTTGTTCGGTTATTTCGGTTTTCGGGGTTCGGTTCGGTGTGCATAAAAAAATTTCGGTTATAACCGAATAACCGAACTAAACCTTTTTTTTATTTAATTTTTATCTTTTTTTTCTATTTTTAATTTCCCTCCCTTTTCACAAAAACATTTCGGTCACTCCCTCCCTCACTCCCGCACCAAAACGCAACGCATAGCCCTTCACACTTACAGACGCTCACGCTCTCGGGCTCTCGGCTCTCTCTCACTCTCAACTCAACGCTCACTCTCAGTCAGTGTCTCTCTCGTCTCGAGTCTCGAAGGCTTGCCCTAGATCGCACATCGCGCCGCTCGCGTCTCGCCTTCTCAGAGAGCGAGCTCAACCGTCGTCCGTCCGTCGTCGCCTGCCATCATTGCCTCGTGTCCGGTTTGTGGCTTCAGACTTGAAGGTAATCCGACATCGCCCCTGCTTCGTCTCTGGTTCTCTGCCACCCCTGTGATTCTGTGAAGCCTCCGCTGCTCCGGCCGTCCAGCGTCTAAGGTGAGTCGGTGATTACTCATATTTTTTGTGAAATATTCACTCTCCAGTCTCCACTGTTCTTTAGCTGCCACCGTTGATTTGATTAGAACACATAGGGATTACAATGGCCTCTGTATGTATCTGCCTTACCAACATATGGGATGAAAGTCACTGAGAGACTAGATTCATCTAGGTTGGCTGCTTATTTGGATTTGGTTTTTTCTGCATATGGGATGGAAGTCACCGAGCCGAGTTAGTTAGTTTTTTTTTTTAAGTAGAAATATGCCCTGCGCATGGCACAGGTTAAAATCTAGTTATATATATATATGGATATTTGAGAACCATATATATGTTGAAATATAATATCGACATTATCAAAAAAACAACAACATATAATATGAAAAGAAAACAGAGTCTGAATACGATTCAAATGAGCCTGGTTTATTATTGTTAACAATATGAATTAAAGTCATGTACGAATTATCATTTGTATCAACATAATTCACAATTATTAGCTGCAACATGAAATAAGCAGTCTTAGGGTTGATGAGATTGTAAAAGGCCTATACAAAAGTATAGTTGGCATTGGGAGGGACTTGAAAAACAAAAATATTGTATCAAAGTATTTAATAAAAATAAAAGGTTAATCATCATTAACATCTAATTCACGAACACATATGTATAAATACATTTACATTGTATTTGAGAGGTGGATCAGATCATGAAAGAAAGAAGGGGGCGACATGTGTAAGCGAGATATGAGACAAAAAGGATAATGAGAGCACGAGAACAGATAAGCAATTGTTCCCAGAACGCCTACATTATTCATATACATATATATGTCTATAAAGCAATGATATGGAAAGGAAATTAGGATAGGAGGGGAGATTGATTATAGATAGGAGTTATCTATTCATTATAAATTATCCTCTTTCTTATATAATATGTCATTATGTTGTAACTAATTTATTTATTTACTTAGATGTCTTCTCATGGTGAAACAATGGGTGATGCTCAAGCTGGGGATGATGGTGCTACTCAAACTATAAAGCCTTCAATGCCTGTAACAAGTGGAACTGCAAAAAGAAAAAGTATGAAGCCAAGATCAAAAGTTTGGGAGCATTTCACCAAATTTGTGAATGAAAGAGGTGAAATTAGAGGTAAGTGTAATTATTGTGGAAATGATCTTGCATGTGATCCAAAATCCAATGGAACCACTACATTGAACAATCATATGAATTCTTGTAAATTGAAGCCCCCTCCCGAAGAACTTGCACAATCTCTTTTGAATTTTAATGTAGAAGATGACAAAATAGGTCTTGCAAATTGGAAATTTGATCAAGATGCTATTAGAAAAGCTTTGTCATGCATGATAATTACTGATGAATTACCTTTCAAGTTTGTTGATGGGAGTGGGTTTAGGCAATTTATGTCTATTGCTCAACCAAAATTTAAAATTCCATCAAGATGGACTGTTGCTCGTGACTGTTTTGGGATTTATATTGAGGAAAAAGTTAAATTTAAAGACTATTTGTTGCATAAAAGGCAAAGGGTTTGCCTCACCACTGACACTTGGACTTCCATTCAAAGAATTAATTACATGTGCATTACTGCTCATTTCATAGATGATGCATGGACATTGAGAAAGAGGATTTTGAATTTCATTCCAATTTCTAGTCATAAAGGAAAAGATATTGGAATAGAAATGGAAAAATGTCTACTTGAATGGGGAATTGAAAGGGTGCTCACAATTACTGTGGACAATGCCAGTTCTAATGATGTCATGGTTCAATATTTAGAAGGAAAAATTATGAACTGGGGTCATTCAATTATGAAATGTCAATTCTTACATATGACATGTGTTGCACATATACTTAATTTGATTGTTACTGATGGGTTGAAGGAAATAGGAAGTTCAGTGAAAAAAGTTAGAGAAGCTGTCCGCTTTATTAGGCAATCACCCCTTCGAATGAGAAAGTTCAAAGAGAGTTGTGAGGATGAAAAGATTCAAAGTAAACTGATTTTATGCTTAGATGTCCCAACTAGGTGGAACTCTACCTATTTGATGTTAGAGACTGCTCAAAAATTTGAAGCAGCCTTTAAAAGGTTTGAGGATAAAGATCCTTATTTTCGATTTGATCTTGAAGATGGAGAGGGGGTGCCTGAGTCTGAAGATTGGAAGAATGTTAGGAGGATGATCATGATGTTGGGTCATTTTTATGAGCTTACTATACAGATTTCTGGCTCTTTATTTGTAACATCTAATACTTTTTTTTGTGAAATTTATAAGCTATATCGTTTTTTGGATGAATGGACAAAATGTGATGTTTGGGAATTGGCTTCCATGGCAAACAGAATGAAAGAGAAATTTGATAAGTATTGGGGAGATCCTATGAAAATGAACCAACTTCTTTATATTGCTGCTGTTCTTGATCCCCGATATAAATTAGATTGGGTGCAATTTGCCTTGTGTAAAATGCACACAAGTGCAGTTGGTACAAGTTTGGAGATGCATATTAAAGAACTTTTGATTTCTTTATATAATGAATACAAACACATTTTTCCCCCCTCAACACAATCTGAAAAGGAGCCAGTGCATACCACACAAGAGGATTGTCATGAAGAGGATGACCCTGCTGTAAAAGTGAGAAAATTGCTTGATATTGAGGAACAAGAGTTTATGAATGAGCGTCTTGGTGGAAGAACTAGCAGAACTGAGGTTGATAGATATTTGAATGAAGGAATTGAGGTTAATAAAGAAGACTTTGATATTTTAGGTTGGTGGAAGCTAAATGGTCCTAGATTTCCTATTCTTTCTCTATTGGCTAGAGATGTTTTGGCTATCCCAATTTCCACAGTTGCATCAGAGTCTACATTTAGCACTGGAGGACGAGTTCTAGATTCATTTAGGAGTTCTTTAACTCCTAAAGCTGTGCAATCTTTAATTTGTGCTCAAGATTGGCTTAGACGCTCAATTCAATATATTGTAGAAGAAGGGAATGATGATATTCAAAGGATAGAACTTGGTAATATTTCACTTTTACTTCATAACATTATGTTATAATGCTTGATTTATTTATATCATATATGATATGAATTCTGATTTTTTTTTTTTGTGTAGATTTGCAAAAAATTGCATTGGAGGCAACTGTTGATATATTGTAGATGTCAAGAAAAAAATATTTGAGTAAACAAATCTTGTGCTTAACTTGTTTTTTTTTTTAGCTCTAAAATTGTGCACTCTAATTTTTTTTTGTTTAATTGTAGTTGTTGGTGGCAAGTTACATGCAAGGAATTTGGGCGCAAGGATTGGCTAGAATTTGTTGTAATTTTAAATTTTACATATTATGTTGTTGGTACTGGATTGGTTTGTTTGGATCTTAATTGTGTTTGGATTTGTATTTGTTATTAGTTTGCATGTTTTTTTGGATTAATATTTGAAAGAGGTTAATTATTATTTATTTTATTTGGTGAAGGACTTGGCGTTTGTGAGATGGAATTGGGTAGTGTACGCCGAAGGAGCAATGAAAAAAGATGTGTGGTTCTTTTTTTCAAATTTATTAGAAGAGCAAATGTGTGAACGTGTAGTTCTTTTTTTAAATTCCCTCTTTAGTGGCCCACGACAATAATGGGTAGAGAGTAGAGACAAATATTTTAATGGGTTATGCAAAAACATAAAGGAGAGCCATTTTTTAATGAGATTCACCCAAAAAAAAAAAAGATCTTAATGGGCTCAGCTCGGTTGGGCCATAATAGGCATACTATTAAAAAGGCCCAATAACCAAATTAGGCCCCTAACCGAACCGAAATATTTTCGGTTATTTCGGTTCGGTTACCAAACATAGTTCGGTTTCGGTTCGGTGTCAAGATTATGCTACGTTCGGTTATTTGGTTATTTCGGTTATCTACACTAACCGAACCGAATAACCGATTGCTCAGGCCTAGTGTCAAGTGGGGCAGTTCACAAGTAATATATAATGATAGCCACTACAAGTCATGCAAGTGCAATGATGCAATTCCCGTCAACCATATCCCTCACTTTGGAGGATTTTTAAGAGCCGAACCCGGCCTATCCCTCATTATGGGGGACGTAAGGAGCCCAAAAAGGCCTATCCCTCACTCTGGGGGACGTAGGGAGCCAAAAGGCCTATCCCTCACTATGGGGGACGTACCGAGCCAATCATCATGCATTAATGGAGGCCTTACCACGTGATAGTAACTATCAAAAACTCTCACCAATTCCCAATTCATGCATCATGCTTAAACCATAATCAAATAGTAATTGAACATTTCATAATTAACTTCTTTCAGTGGCATATCTTTCACAATTCCAAGATTCAATCATCATCAATCGAAACTCCCACAAGACGGTTTTCCTTTTTATATATAACATACACTTTGAACATGATTGTTACTCGGAGCACAAAACATAAATCTACTTACAATACCACAGAAGCATGTACTAAGGATTGAAAAGTGGTTACCTCTCGCCTGAGCAAGGAATAACAAACCAACAATATGGTCCCGTGCACCAACAAGACTCACAACCAGTCTATACAAGCACACAAACACACAACTATCATGTATTAGCTTTCAAACTAATAATGTGGCTAAAACAACATTTGGGGACATAAAATTCCTATCTCCAATCAAAACTCTACCCAACTCAAAGGGGTATAGCTACTAAAACAACACTCCGAAGTCATAAAAGTCCATTAAAACATCAAATCCCCTTCCAAGCATCAATTAGGGTTCAAACCTCAAGGACCCACTATAGGAATTCTACACCCAAACATTCCATTTGAACAATTGAAGTTCTAACACAATCTAAACCGATTAACCATCCAATTTAACCCTCCTTAACATAACCCAATTCACAAAATTCAAAATCAACCTCTACATTATCATCCTCAATCACAAACCTCCCATTTCCATAAACCCTAACTTCAAAAACTCAAAGTTCTTCAAATCCAAGAAAACTACACCGATTAAATACTTAAACTAACCCAAAGCAATCAATTAAACTCAAAACAATTGATCAAAAACCTCAATTCCATCACAACCTAGAAAATCTTAGGGTTTCACCACAAATCCTCAGAAATTCCAAGAAAGAAAGTAGATTAGAGGTTAAAATCACTTACTTGAGGTAATGGATCCTTAGAAATGCCCCCTCTAAGCCAAAACACCGAAACCCTAGCAGAGCCTCTCTCTACCTTCAGATTTTCTAATTTTCGCACAACTGAACCCTCCAGCAATTATATAGATTCGTGACCTTTCGCTACGGCGAACTAATCCCGAGAGGGATTACTCGCCTGAAAACCCGACTTCGCCGCGGCGAACTCTAATATTCGCAGCGGCGAAAGCTTCCCGAGAGGAAACTCTCGCTCGCCTAGAAAATCTTCGCCGCGGCGAAACCTTCCCGAAAGGGAAGCCTCGCTCACCTGAACAACTTCACCGCGGCATCCCTATGACTTCGTCATGGCCAAACCTACCCGAAAGACAATCCCCCTTGGAACTCCCGATTCGCCGCAGCGAACATACCCTGAGAGGAGTACGTTCACCTATTCCTCCAACATACCTCAAATCCAACCCAAACACCAAGATCAACATTTAAATCACTAATCTATCCTCAAAAATTAACCAAAAGAGGTTATTAAAACCCGATAAAACTTAGGATGTTACACACACACTCACTCACTAACTCATTTAATCGCTTCTATATGTGAGTCCTAGTGCTTGTTATTGGATCCCTTGATTAGAGAAGTCCAACTACGTTTACTCTTTTATCAGTTCCAGATTTCAAGGTTATTTTTTTAAATTATTTGTTAGCTTTGCTTTTCAAAGGTAACATCTCATATGAAATAATGTTCTCCGGCGGAGGATTTGTCTTTGGGTTTCTCTCAATCCTGCAGCAATACTTTCAGCTTAAAGAGAATATCAGCCAAATTAGGCAGAGTATCTGGCTTTTATATTTATGTGTTATTACAAATTTATGCAATTGCTGAAATTTAAGTTGGCTTTGGCATTTTTAGTCCTTCTAACATTGGATATGGACAAAAATGCTTGTATGTATTAGTTCATGAGTAGTTAGCAATTACTGGATTTGTGTTTTATTATTACTATTTTTTTTTCAAAAAATGACTACTTACGGCGTCTGTTGCACTGAGCAACAGAAGCTGTAAGTTGTGACTTACGGCGTCTGTTGCACTGCGCAACAGAAGCTGTAAGTTGTGACTTACAGCGTCTGTTCCTTTATGACAGACACCATAAGTCCTATCTTTCGCTTCTCTACCTTCTACTACACCTCCAATAGAGTAGCGAAAGCATATTTTTAACTGAAGCCAAAAGGGGTATTTTGCACTAGTGAGAGGTACCCCAAGTTAGCAGAAAGGTTAATTCATCCTTGACTTAGAGGAACATTTGTAATGTTTGGAATCATTTCACTACTAGTTTGGGCAAGAGAATAGGAAATGAAAAAGAGTTATCCTTTTGGTTTGACAAGTTAGAGATAAATGTTCCCTTAATTGAACTTGTTCCAGGAGCTGAGGGTTTGATTGATACTAATGAAAGTATGTGACGCACAATAGAGAATGGAATAAGGAAAAGATGAAAGTTTGGTTTCAACCAAATATTGTTGACCGTATCACCTGTGTGCATCCACCTTGTAAGAAGAGAGGAGACGATATGGAAGCTTGCCCCTGATGGCCGGTTTTCTATTAAATTTGCATACTCTTTTCTTCATTGAGGTACCACAAGGAGGGAGGATAGCATATGGAAGAGGCTATGGTGTTGGTAGATACTAGAGAAGATCAAATCTTTCATGTGGCTCTTTTGCTATGACAAGATTCACACATGCCAGCTAAGGAGAAGCAGGGGAATTATGGACTTAACATCATCCCTATTTGGTTGGAAGAGGAGGAGGATGCAATGTATTTACTACGACACTGTGTTAATGCAAGGCAGGGATGGAAGTTAGTTTTGCAACCCCATGTGTGGGGAGAGTTCTTTTCCTTATAGGGTAAACAATGGCTAAAGTGGAACCTACAAAAAGAAGCCAGAAAGGACTTGATGTAGAAAGTCCATTGGGACAACCCATTTGGATATCTCTACTGGGATATTTAGTTATCGAGGTGCCAGAAACTGTTTGAGGAAGCTATTAATTCAAAGTATTTAACAGCTCAATCAAGCTTCTTTAGAGCTTGCTCAAACTATGACCTCTACAGAAGTTGTGAGAGACTGAAAGACAAAAACCTTAGGGGGCTAGACTACCAGGATACACTAGAAGATTTTATCAATCTAGAGGTTGATGGCTTGGTTTTAAAAAATGGTAAGAGTAGATGTGGAGGAGTAATTAGAAGCAAGGGTAGGGATTGGATCATGGGATTTAGTTGTAAACTCTCTAAAGTTCCCTTAGTCTTTGCGGCGCTCATCGGTATCACTCAGGGATTGTATCTCAACTAGGCTAGGGGATTCAGAAAGGTCCACCTCATGTCTGACTGTTTGGAGGCACTTAATCTTGCGACTGGGGATTGTGATAGAAGTCACCCTTTTTATGATGTGGTAGAAGAGACTAGAATGCTATTATGCAGGAATTGGCAAGTAGTTGTTAACTATCAATACCGAGAGGAGATGTCCAATGCATATTAGTTGGCTAAACTGACCCATGGGATGTAAGAAGCTACAAAATCTATGATCAACCACCGTGTCTAAGCCTGCAGGGAGATAGGGGATGATGAGAGGGCTATCTTAGTCTGAAGCTGTTAGCCTTCGTTTTGATTTAGTGTATTTTGTAATTAATGTCTTGAATTTAGTTTCTTTCAAAAAAAAAAAAAAAGGACGGAATTGTAATTTTTCAGCAATTACAAACAGTTTTGTTAAAAAAAATAAAGGAAAAAGGGATAGATCCGCACCAACCATTTTATATTAAAAATTGTCACAACAAATAAGCTGTTAGTTAAAACCGTAAGTGGTCTCACCCCTATAAAGAGGAGAATTTAAATTCAAATTTTGAGAAATGCACCTATTAGAAAGGTTTCAACCTCAACCTTTTATGCCGACAAAAATTAATTGCAAGTCTAAATTAACTTGAGAATATCATGTGTTACAATAACAAAAAACAAAACAAAACAAAACACAAGAAAGTCAAAGGAAGGAAAGAAGCCAAGCGCCCCTAAATAGGTAGATGATTATTCTTTTTTTTTTTTGGAATATTATCTCTATATTTTTGTTTTTTAAAAGAAATTAAAGTGCATTTTTGGTTGCCAAACTTTATTCAATATTTTTATTTTAAAAAGTATTTTTTTTCAATCTCTAACTCTAATCCTGTTAATATTAAATAATAATTTTTAATAATTATTGTTATTTCGAATATCTAACTTAATATATTAACATTTCACAATATTTTACATTTAAATTTTTGAAGTCAGCATTTTTTGATTAACTGTGTTAATATTAAAGAAATAAAAATACACTTTATAAATTTGAAGAATAATTTGTTATTAAAAAAAGGCAAATCCCATCTCCTCGTCTGTGTGAATGATATATGAGAAATTGATTTATCGTGTTTTTTTTTTTAAAGGATTCTCAGATTAGCCCTAGATAACAATTCATCTTTTTGCCCAACAAGTGGTCAATAATTGTTGGTAAAGTGATAGTTTCTGATCGCCTCTACTTCTGTGGAATTTACACTTTTTTTAATTGAAATATCGTACCCTTTCAAACATACCACTACTGGTAATCTGGTATGCGTTTGATAAACAATAAAAAATAATTATTTTTTGCAATTTATAAAGGATCATATATTAAATATGCATACAAAGATTAAAGAACTGCGTATATAATTAAGAAAGATAGAGTTAGATATGGGATAGTCCTCAAACTTGCTTCGAGATCTATCAAATCTGGATTCTGGAATGTGAAAAGGAAGAAACAGAAAGGAGGAATAGTGCTGATCTATAAATGAAGCTATGGAAATGAGGGGAAAAAATTGAGAAGCATGAAAATAGAATAAGGAAAAAGAAATTAAAAAAAAAAAAAGAAAAGCTACAGACCAACGCACAAGCATAAAAATAGAAATTGCTTATAATTGTTTCTTGCTTCTTTCTTTTCATTTGAGCTTGAGCTGTCTTTTACAATCCCACCATAACAATAAGAACTGGGGAAAGACCATCTTTAGAATATCACAGCAAACTTCCTGTACTCCAAAGAGATCTCTAATAATAGATAGTTTTCAGGGTTCTGATTAAGTGGCATTCTCAAGAGTAATATGATAACATTGAACTAATGAACAAATTTAAATAGTTCCCCTCTGCATATTTTATTAAAAAAAACCATAGAGATTCTTTCTGCAATTAATCATATCCAGCGTGTTTGGGTCGCCGTACATAGTGCAAACCGTGTCTTCGAAAGCGCGAAATGTGGGTTGGGAAACTATTTGAGAGTTTGTACCTGTGTGGGATGGCTTTTGCGGAAATGAACTCTTAGTTTCCATCATGCGTTAGGAGAGAAGCTCTCTTTAGGTGTTTTAAGGAGTGTTTGGAAACACTCAAGGGATGTTAGGATGAAACCAAACCATAATTTAGAGAATAGTTTCTGAAAAATAGATTATGAGGAGAATAAATTTTGTGAATAATATATTTTGTGAAAAAGTAATTCTAAGAAGTGAGAGTGTTTGGATAATTGTTATTAGAAACACTTTTTACATGTGCAAATTACTAAAAAGGGTATAAGTTAATATGATAATTATATAAAGGATAGATTTTATAATATATTTTGATTTGAAAAAATAAAATAAAATTGTTAATAAAATAATTTTTACTAACATAATTAATAATGTAAAAAATAATATAATTAATATATTTATAAAACATAATATTACATTGTTAATAAAATATGTGAAGGAGGAAAGAGCAAAGGAGGAAAGGAGGAGCAAATCCGTAACACCGACTGTTTGAGTAAGGAAAAGGGGCTCTTTTGCCATCCGTGTTAGGCCCACAACAAGGTTCCAATAATTTGAGCTAAGAAACAACTCTGGACTGTTTCTAGTGAAACCATGGTTTGCCCCCAAACCATGGTTTCACATTTTCTATCCTTGTTTGGCTGATATTTTCCCAAAACCATGGTTTGGATCCCAAAACCATGGTTTGGAGTGCTTGCCAAACAGGCCCTCAAAAATACCTCTCAGACACATTTTTTCATAAAATATGGTAAACTCTTTCACATATTTATTTCGTATATCGTAAAGTATTTTTAAAATTATAATTTAGTTTCTACCCAAACATCTCTTTAGAAAAAAAGGTTAGTTGCTCCCATGGAAAGAGAGTGACACAGGTGAGGTAAAAATACAAAATAGGATCTATCTAATTTATTTTATTAAAAAGAAAAGACAAAATTTCTCTTTAATTTAACTAATAAAATTTTTATACACATAGAATATTAGTATAGTACAAATTTTGTGCATACAAAGCACCAGTGTCTAGTAATTTGATTTAAATCATTTTACCAATTAAAATTTTTATAAAATTTAAGTAATTCAAGTATTTTCAAAATTTTCCTATAATACATTAACTATTTTTATTTTTATGATTTTAATTTTAATATCTCTATTAAAATTATAACATTATATACATGTATTATAAAAAAAATCACAAAAAAAGACCATTAAAATAGAAAAATTATAAATAGGAACCCGTTATGATAATAGGTTTTGACAACAATAGTATGGGTTTTGACAATAATAGTATAGATTTTAATAACAATTCTTGTGAACGGGTTTTTGTGTGCAATTTTTCAATTTTGACGGCTTTGTTTTTGTTGCGATTTTTCCTATATTATAAATATGTATTATTTAATAAAATTTATGTTTTTTTAGTCATTTTGTATTTAAACTTGTTTATGTATTTATCATCGAAACAAGTTTTAATCTGTCAAAACATACTTTTTTACACAAGCCAATTCAAAAATAAAAATTAGATGAAATAAAAGTCAATTTTGCCACTGTTAATCCAAATACACTCGTTAGAATTGTATCTTTCTAAGTATTGCCAAACTATCCAATAACCTCAGAATGAGAAAGATTTGACACTCTTGATATGAAGTTCAACGATATGGACCTGTGTGTGTGGATAATTAACTTCAGATGACAAGATTAAATTTCATAAATTGTAAGATGAAAGAAGAACATGTATGTAATTTATTAGAGACACGAGAAAGGTCGCAACTAGCAGTCCACCACTCATCAAAGCATACAGAGCAGAATTTACAGCTTCGAGTACCAGAAGCAGACCAGCTTCATACGCCTTCTATCTGACCATAGCAGGAAACTTCACAAGGTAAACCAGATTAAAACGAAAAATAAAAAGCATATAGCCGAAACACAAATGTTGATAACCAACAACATTTGTTATTGAATATCTACATTCATCATCCTAGATATCGTCTCTAAAGGGCATCAATAACTACAAGTAAGGTCAAATGATCTAAACTGTCATATGTTCATTTCCACCATTATGTTTCGAGATCTAGGACGAAGACTCTTCAATGCGGATGTTGCCAACTGAAAAAAGAACAGGAAGCGAAGGTTTTTGAAGTTTTGAGTGATGGAGGTGATCTCAGACGAATAATGGGGACCTGAGGAGACTTTTCGAATGCCTGCAGACACATTGAAATCGAATTAGGGATTTTACCGGAAGTCGCTTGAGAATGTTTGCGATGATATCTTGGGGAAGACATGGCAGGTCGCCCTCCATTGCCTTCTGCTCCATCGTGCTTGACTGAGAAGAAAGAAAGTTAGCCTTCATCCTCTTATTGCTTTTCTTTGTGACAGGTCTTTTGCGGAAGAGAAAGCCAACAGAGTAATCATCTATGGGCATTTATAGAACGAAAAAAAAAAAAAAAATGATGCTGTCTAATGCTGTCAACGCCCTATTATGTTTGGGCTCATTAATAAATATTAAATCAAATATAAAAAAAATTAAAAGAAAAATTCTTATCAATTCTGTCTTGGAGGTTATGTTTGAAAAGTTTATCATGAGGTTTTTCACCCAAATATGATGAAAATTTCAAAAATTTACTCGGATACGATAAAATAAAAAATATTTACCAAGATGCTATACTTGAAAATCATTCAGACCGAGAACGAGTTCAATGGAACCTAACTCACAAAATAAAACTCGTTTTTGGTTTGAACGAGTTTAGTAAAACCCATATCAAAAAAGTAAATTCATTTGTCTTCTAGCTACACCTTTCTCCATACACTCCACGTGCTTCTTTCTTTCTTTTTGTTTTTTTTTTTAACTAGCCTCGACATGCTTCTTTTCTTTCGACCACACGCAAAGCTACTGCTCATGAACATGGTTAATTTCCTTCCCCAAATATTCCCATCAGTATAGGGGCGGAAGGAGTAGTCATTCGAAGTATCCTCAACTCACACCTGACAAGTATTTTTTTGGCATGTGAGTGCAGAGCATACATTTTATTTTTGTGCATATAATGCACATAATTTCCCACTCAAATCTGTCTTTCTTCTTGTTACTTCTTAGGTTCTTCTCAAGTTCTTCAGCTTCTTCCATTCTTCTTTTTTCTTCCACACTTTCGTTCAATGAAATTGATGGTGTGTGGTCTTCCAAATATTATATATATATATATATATATATTTTATCTCAACTTGAAACTTGATTTTTCTTCTAAGGTACATTCTCTTGATTAAATATTTTAAATATGGACAATCAAAACTGCATTTTAATAATGTAAAAATTCAAAACTAAACTCGTTACATTATTAAAAACTAGCTCCATCAACTAGAGTTAACTTTTTTTTTTTTAATAGATGCTAGTATCTTATTAGGAGCAATCTTATTTGATATACTTGAATAATCAAACTAGCCCAAAACCTGTCAATTGGATGTAAAACCAGCAAACCGGACTGAAAAATAAGTAAACTAGTTGAGCAAATAATCTTTTTAAAAGTGATCTTACGAAATTCAAAAAAATATGTAAAAAATGTTTTATCTCAACTTAAATAAAAATACTCGTTTCAAGTGTTCCACATGCCCCCTTAAAAAACAAAAAACAAAATGACCAAAGTAAAACCGGCCCAAAATAACTCAACCAATCTAAAGAAACTTAAAAAACAATTGAGCCGATCTGAAGAATAAGTGAACAAGTGAAAAAATGGCAAACCAGACTGAAAAATAATTCAACCGATCTGAATAAAAATAAACCCAAAAAAAAAACTACAAAAAGGCTTATCGTAGCTCCAATGAGCTCCCATTATTATATCACTCCCATTATTATCTTTTAACCCCTTCTTTTATCCCATCTTTAGGTAAAGACAAGTTACTTAAGGAAAGGAAAGCATTATCATTTATCGATATCACCCCATAAAACAGAGATGCTTTACCATACAATAATTGTAGCTCTACATTACTGAATCAATCATAATTTACACACAGATTTACAAAGTCTAGTCAGAGATAAAAACAAAATTGACCTGACGTGAAAAGAAAGCCGAACCAGAAACACTCATCCTTTTACCCGAAGTTAAGGAGGGCCTGAGCTCTCTTTGTGATGCATGGCAAAGTAACTTTGATCGATTAGCAGAACAATGGCCTCACCAAAAGATTTTCCATGAGATTGTTCTTGTTTTCCATGTCAAGTGCTCATCTCAGCTTCCACTGGAAACTAGTTCTGTGCTTGGAGAAGATATGTTTGGATTGAGAAGATTGATTTGGGTTAGGAGAAAATTTATCCCTCCCATGCCCCTTTTCTCCGTTATCTTCAACCCAAAATGATATTCATTCTTTTTCAAATTTAAACCAATTCCAGTTTGCATAGAGCGTTTCATTTTCAAAAGGCAGGGAATTCCTTGGGAGGGGATCTGACCGTCGACGGGTCAAAGAAGGAGGTAGCTTTTCCTTGTATTTCCTGGCCATCATTTCAGCTTCGTGAAACACTCTCTGAAATAGGAAAGAAAGCATCATCTCAAGCCCAATCTAAGATTTAAGCTAATATTCCAATCATATCAATGAAAGAAATAAACTAATTACGAAAACCTAATACTAGTCCTCAGAAAAAGATGTGATTTTCAATTTGATAATTCAAAGATTTTTTCTTTTCTGTTCCACTTTAGTGCCCAGAAAGTATGATTTCATTCAAATTTGACCCTTCTAAAGGTACTATATGGATATCTATACAAATTTTCAGGGATCAATGTTCTCTGGGGTTGAAATAAAATCATGCCCAGGGACCATAGTGACACCAAAAATTAATGGAGTACTATTAAATTGATAAGAATACCATCTAAAAGGGTTTTGTCCAAAATAAACTCAAATTACCTCTTTGTTTGACAGAAATAGACCAGGTTCACTTTCGAGGTCTGCAATGCTTCATGCCACAAAGAGATTTAAAATCAGAAGCAACTTATTGCAGTAAATTGCAACATATAAAAGTCCTCTACTGGAAGATTCATCAGTAAAACCCAAAAAAAAAAAATCAAATTAAACATAACACGTGATGAGCACTATGCCCAATGTATCGAGTGCTCTCTAGTAAAACCAAAGGGCTATTAGAGTATGTCATATGAGTTTTCAAGAATGGTGATTCTCTGACTACACAATAATATAAGAGGATTTTCATTCCTTTTTCCGTGTTATTGTTGCTCACTAGTTTATCGTTCGTGTGGAATTGAAATACAAATGAAGAGGAGTAGTGGTGTTAATTAGCTTGGAAGGCTGATTCGGTTTTACCAAATGGCTCTATGATCAAATAGTAACTCAATACTTTGAACGCTTATAGCAGAAATTTAGAGTAAGAAAGTTATTACCTTAAAGAAATTTTATCAGGAAACAATGACTTTACAACCAAAACTCTGAGCTTCTCATCTACAGAAAGTACGTCACTGACAGAGGTCACTTCAGCTCTAGTGATATTTGAAACATGCAGCAACCCACTGAAAGGCACACGAATGGTTCCTTAAATTAAATGCCAAAGGACATGCTTTGACAGATTTAATCTCAATTTATAAATCCACATGATGAAACGATGCAGAAGGACAAGATACAGCAAAGTCACAACAACAAGGCAACAAAGAAGCCATGCCTGGTCAGACAATTATTTTCCCTAGATTGACCAGTGAGGAGAGATACAGTGTATAAGAAAAACATTTGACACGTAAGGAAATGAGAAATCTTTACAGTAATAGAGATCTATGCACCTTATAGAATATCATCACTTCAATAAATTAATAAGAGAAATGATGTATGCAACATAAATGAAAACCTGTGAATAAATTATAACCCTTGCAAATCTGGATTAACTGTTATGTTATAATCATGAGGGTCTAATAAACCATGGAATATGATATAGAGCAAAACAGTTGGGAGGAAAGAATATGCGAACTTCAACTAAGAAAAATTTAAGAACCTTAACGAATTCAACTCAATAAATTATCAATAGAATAAAAAGTAAATACAGAATTCCAAGCGAGTTTTAAATTCATGTTCAAATGCAATGCAGAAATTTGACACCACCAGTAACACAGAATGACTATAGATGCTATACTGCCAAAAATAAATAACTAAAACATCAACTTATTATATCTTCAAATTTTGACAGCCATGTTCTAATCTACTTTTTATTTGTTTGGTTTTGCCGACATGCTCTCATCAAATTGCCAACCCTGCTTGCATTTATGAGTCTGTTGAATTTATCGTTGGTTCAACTATTTTGTAGAAGAGGCGTTAATTGGGTTCTCAATGAAGTTAAATCTAGACCCAATCAGGTAAGGGATATTAACCGGGGGAAGCTTGAGCATATAGATCTTCCGGAGCCAATACAGCCAAGCAAAACCTAAGCGGGCCAGAGCATAGATAAACCTTTGACAATAAAAGCAGCAATACTATCTAAGGTAATTGACCACTGGGTTCTTGAATATGAACCTCCTAAACTCACAATGCCGGTGGAAGGATTATTGAAGGGAAATGCATCCCCCAAGAGCGTATCACAGATTTATACCTCAAATTTCCCCCAACAAAAAATTAAGTGGCAGAAAATTCTTCAATAATCACTATTTGCATGCGGACTCATTTAAGGACCATCTTAGAAATCATGGATACTGAATCATTGACCAGAAGCACCTTCACTTTCTCTGTTTTTGCATAGCTAGTCAGTGTCTTATAGCCCTAGAGAGCCTAGACCACAACCATTAATTGTAAGCGAAATTAAATCATAGGGACAATCTTTCACAAAAATGGGGAAAAATCATAGTGGCAATCCTTATAATGGTTTTAACGCAGCAATCAGTCAATTCAACGTTGAACATTGTGGATCCTGGTCATAAGTGGGTATAATATAGAAAAATGCATGTCCGTTACAATAGCCGCATCATCTAGTTTCCATCCATTATATCTTTGATATCTACTTTGTCAAGTTTTCTTTTATTTCACAAGTGGCAAAACCAAAGCAGGCAAATTGACAATATTCAACCTAGTTATAAGATTCCAAGCATACATATGGAATTTTCCCCTGCATACAAGGGTTGCACCTACTTGGTTCTCATTCAATCTAGTTATAACATTTCAAGCAGGGAAAAAAAGGCATGCTGAATTTATAATCCACATCTGAGCTACCACTCACCTCCTGTTAGTTTCTCCTATTCTTACTTGGGCTCCATATGGAAATATCTTCTTCACAGTCCCATCTAGAAGTGTTCCCTCTCGAAGGTATAGCTTTTCCTGATACACCATGCCACAACATGAATTTCACAAGTATTTCATGGAGACAGAAAAATTAAAAATTCAACATTAAAATACAGAACTAAAAAAAAAATGAAAGAATATAACTTTAAAAAAAAAAAAAATACAGACCCAAGCTTCCCGTTCATTGAGTATCAAGTTGTTTGTAGCTTCGTCAACACGACTTATTTGTACAAACATTTGGCATCCCACCTACATCATTATAGATAGACAGCTGTAACTTTTAACAAGCATCTAGGAAAGAAGTCTGGCAAAACATGAAATAACAACTATGGATGATTATTATTTTCAATATATTATCACTGAGCTTCAGAAGTCTCTCATTTGTTGCACTTGCTAAGCTGCAGAACTTAGTATATGCACAACAACCAAGCAGTTTGCTCAAAGAGCAAATTTCAGCATTCATAAATTATAATGGTTGTACTCATTGGAAATTCTCTTCTTAAAATAAAAGAGATTCTTGCTTTTTTTCTAAACCTAATAATAATAGCGTTAATTGCTCAAGATTATTGTTGTGGGATGTAGTAGCTTTATTAAAGTTTAATATTCAAACAAACTGAAATACAACACCTTAAACAAAACATTAAGACCCAAAAATAAAATAACTAAGGCTCAAACTGAATCAGAGGACAAAAGCAATATCCACTTTTCAAGCTACTAACTGATACAATAATTATTCATGTAAGAAATTAAAGAAAGTTAGTTGTTAATAGCCATTAGGTTCATTGCTGTAGGTATAAAAGGACAGGATTAGCTGAATTGAGCTAATTTTCTGTGAATAATGCTATCTAATAATTCTTAAATCTTCTTTTTTCTCCACTCTCTCTGTCTTCTATATCTCTCTACTTTCATTTATGAATCTATCACTTTTACCTCATCAACATAATAGAAAAATAATGTTATTGAATAAGGGCATGATCGTCAGAGACTCAACCCCAATAGCAGCTAGTTTATTAGGTTACCACAAATGGAAAATTTGATTTTTCTGGAAAAGGTTGGATTTGACTTACATAATCTTTCAACTCAGAAATGCAATTCACTCTTTTCATAAGCTCTGCTTTGGGAAGGAAAGCTCGCAAACCCTGCACAACAAATTTGAGAAGAGATAAATATTTACTCAAGTACTACATAGATATAAAGAGGTCAATGATACAGACCTCAATCCTTGTTAGCAGGCCCCCAGTATTCCACTCTGTAATTGTAACCTCTATAGGTTCGTTGAGCTGTTTTATCTGCCCAAGACATTCAAAAAAGAATACATTTAAATCTTATGATCATGGATGCCATTTTCTCACTGTCACATCACCTATATTGGTCAACTATACACAGGAAAAATGTAAACTCCATTGAAGTAGTGATAAGAATTATTGCACCAAAGTCAAATCCTATATGAAAATTGCTAACTAAACTAAATATAACATTGGCCGACCATATCATTTCGTAGTAGGACATAACACTTCTCAAATTACATTAAACGCTATATTTCATTCTGTTGTATTCATCTGTATCTTTAGTATTTGTGTCAAGCTTCTTTAATAGGGAGCGAAAATGAAGAATGAAAGGAGAAGGAACCTGCATCACTCTATGCCAGGCCATCCGGCGAAAGAGCCGTCTTGTAGAAAGCAATGGCCGACCACTAAGCGTTCTACCAAGAACCTCAGCAAACAAAATCGTTCCAACCTCAACAACAGGTCTTCCTGGCGGAGGTGTACCACTTATAACATCATCGTCCCTCACAAGCCCCATCTTTCCGGGAACCATGAATTTCTCAGAATCCTTATTTAAATCACATAATAAGTATTCAGTTTCTTTACCGTACAATGGAAGCACCTCCTTTGTCAACATCGTACCTAGTATGTCGGCTCCCACATTAACGTCAAGTCTATTTTCGTTACCTGAAACAACAATACCCACTACAAAATCCCCTGGTTTGGGTTCATAATATTCAACATTAATCTTCTTAGCTTCTTCATTTACGCCTCCTATACCACTTTTCTCCTCAAAAACTTCCGATGCCCCTCCTTCCTCTTTTGCCACCTCCACAGCATCACTTCCCTTGAAGAACTTCAGAAATGGCGCCAAAGCCTCCTCCTCGTCTTTAGTTGCCTTCTCTGACTCCATATCCACTTCCAAAGGGAACCCATCTTTATCAGGAATTGGGGAAGGCTTGTTCAATAAACCAAGCTTTTCGGGTTCTTGAATTATTTCACCGGGAGATTCTTGAGACAACTGGGTACTCGAAAATCCGTCGGCTTCTCCATTTTTCGAACAAAAGACAACTCGGGTGGTGCTCCAAAATGCAAACTTTCGGGAAAATAGAGAGATGGAGGTATCAGAGAGCCCGGTAGTGGCAAAAGAAGAGAACTTTTGGGGTTTTGGAAGGGGTTTAAGATATGATTTCTTGAGCAGTGCGTTGCTTGGAGTGCCAGTTTCCTTCCAAGGCGCTGTACAGTCGGGAAAGTGGCAAGGATTGCATGGGCGAAGAATTACGAGCATCTTCTTATCCAGCTGCCCCAAAGCATGAGCCAAGAATTGCTTTTCTCAGGGGCGAGAAAGGATTTTTCGGTTCGAACGGAAACGGCGGATGGCGCAGAGACTTTTGTCCCCAGGCCCAGAGTAAACATAAATTTTCCTTCCCAAAAATCGTACAAATAACCAAACAGATGCGAGCGGAATACACTGATACGAATTTAAATGGTAGCTGTGCTTAACCCCCGAAACAAAAAAATAATCATGTACAAATAACTTTTTAAAATTTTAAAATTTAATATTAAATCCTTTAAATTTTGAGGTCTTTATTAATTTTTAAAAATTTATCATTAAATCCTTTACATTTTTAAGCGTCACTCCTGGTAAATTCCTCGTAGTGAATACCATTGGGATTTAAGGTTCAAGAATGGAGTGGGGAGAAAAATAGGCAATGGGATTTCTACATCCTTTTGGTTTCATAACTGATCTGAAATCAACACCCTCTTGGTTGATATTATCACTGGTCTTGAAATGATGATTGATGGAGAGAGGAGCGTGTGGTTGACTATGTGACAAATGGAGGAGAGTGAGACAGATAGAAACTTCTTCGATGGTTTCACCCTCGTATGGTAGGTTGAATCTCTTATGCACACCCACCTAGTCAGGAGAGAGAAGAGGATAAATTCCTTTGGAAACCATCCACTGACGGTATCTTTACTATTAAATATGCATACTCTTTCATTTCTGCAGGTACCAGGCGACCAACAGAGAGTGTTTGGAGACTTCTTTGGAGATGGAGAGTCCCGGAAAAGATCACATCTCTTATGTGGCTTTTTTGCCATGATAGGATCCACATAGCACAGCTGAGGGTGGACAGGGGTGTTCAGCAAGATGCAAGATGCCCTTTTGGATGTAACCAGGCGGAAACATCTGTGCTTCTGTTTCGTGAGTGTGTCAATGCTAAAGACATATGGAAATCAGTAATTAAGGCCTCAAAGTGGAGTGTTTTTGTGGCAAAACAAGACGCGGAGTGGGTTGCTTCGAATCTCACAAATCAAATAGGAAGTGACAAGACCAAGAAGATACCTTGGGCTACCCCTTATGGTTACATCTGCTGGGACATATGGGTGGCTAAATGCAACCATCTTTTTAGCACACCCAGTATAGATGGTCCCCCATAATGGGTTTTCAAGCTTTTTTAGAGCATGCCTAGATCAGACCTATAAAACATTGCAAGTTTTATAAGTTCCATAAGACGATTGAGGAACCAAGTAGTGGCCATATGGAAGGGACGATAAAACTAGCAGTTGATGGCCCTGTGTTACCGAATGGAAGGAGCGGTTGCAGTGGAGTGATATAGGACGATGTAAGAAATTGAATTGTTGGTTTCAATTGCAAACTAACGAATGTGCCCCCTACGATTACGGAGATGATTGGGATCATTCAGGGCCTGAACATATGCTGAAGCACAAATCTAAAGGAAATTTCATTTTATTCTGACAACTTAGAGGCTATTAGCCTACTCACCAGGGGATGTGATGGCCAACACCCTTTCAAGGATATCATTGATGATGCTAAACTACTCCTTAACAGAGATTGGAAGATTACAATTTGTCATGTGTATAGAGGTGTAAACCATCCAACTAATTATTTAGCTAAACTTTCACACAATCTTGAGAGCTCCTTTTGGATCCTTGATCAACTTCCTCCTTTCTACTGAGAGGCAGAGAGTGATAAAGGAGATTAGAATTTTCTAATTTCTTGTTGTTTGTTTGTATTAGTTTTAAGTTTGTATCCAGTAACTTTCATTCAAAAAAAAACATCTAGGTTGTGTTCATTTTATAAAATTGCATTATAACGGGATTTTTTGAAGTGGAATGAAGGAAGGACGACTTAGGCTCTGGTAATGTTCATATTTTCGTCTTATTAAAAGTAGTTTTGAGCTTAGAAAGTAAGAAATATAACCTTGTTTTCTCTCATTCCCTCTTTATTTTCAAATTTTGGGTTGAGGTTTTTGGCTAGGCTTTTGATAATTTTGGATTTTGGGTAAGTTTGACTGAGTATTTTGAATTTAAATAACTTATATGGACTACATTAGATAGTTGATCAGTTTAGTTTTCTTATATTTGAAGTTTTGTGGAATTTGAGCTAAGGATTTGTGATTTTTGGAGGATTAAGATGTTTGATGATATTGTTGTGATTTCAAATGAGTTTTGAGGATTGGATGATTCCATTATGAGCTAGAACTAAGGTTTAGATGGTTTGGATTGCTGTTAGAATTTGAGATTCTCAAATGGGTATTTTGAGGTTGAAGCCCTAAATGTGAAATTAGGGCTTTTGATTGAAGTGTATAACCTGAGCTTAATGAATGGTTTGGATGAGTCAAGTAAGGCTTTAGAAAGTTAAATTTGATATTAGATTGGTTAAGTCATGGTTATGATGAAATTTGGTTGTTAAAGGATTAAGGCAGAATTTGCTCTGCATAACCACTTATTTAGTTAAAGTACTAATTGTGGTTATTTAGTTGTATAGACCGCTTGTGATTTTGTTGGCTTGAATACGAGGTTCCATATGTGGTATAATTCTCTTTACTTTGACGAGGAGTAACCAATTTTCATTTGTTATGTGTGTTAATATGATGTTTGTGGGTATTTTGATAGAACATGATCTTAAAATGCTATTTGGAACTTGATGATATATGCTATATCCTTTAAGTCATAAAATTGTCTTGTGGGACTTATCGATTTGCAAATGAGATGTTTGGAAAGTACATGTGATATAATTTAAACCATTAAAGCATGAGATTATATAATATTTTGAGAAAATGAATATTATATTTTTTGTTATGATGCAGTTAATGGAATTTTTTATTAGATAATATGAGTCCAATAATTTTACCAAGTGATAAGGCTGTTGTTGGTGCACATTAACTAGCTCTTTAGTCCTTTATAATAAGAGATAAGTCTTTGTGGCTCATTTATTCATCCTAAGAGTGAAAAGTAGGCCCACATGACTTGCTAGTCCCTATAATGTGGGATAGATTTGTATGGCTTGTGTGTTTGCCTCTATAATGAGGCATTGTTGGTTGTGATTATCCTATCATATATGTTTTGAAATCTCATTGTTATATATATTTAGAATTTGATAACTATCCCACATGACACATCATGAGTACATATTAGTATGTATGATGAGTTAGGAAGTTTGTTACTAAGGCTTTTGTCTTACCCCATGATTCTTAGTGTTTTCAAGTAATAGCTCAGGCGTTGGTCCATCATGAAAGGCTTCGAAAGTTTGGAGTGATGTTATCTCTTGTATAGTCTCCCTCCTTTTCGTATGTATTGACCTGTTGTTTATTGCCATATAGAACTCATTCACTTACTCTAATTTGTAATTTTAAATGCTTTTAATAAGTTATTTTCTGGACAGCGTGTTCGTAGGAGGTCAAAGGTCTCTAAGTTATTGCTTGTGGCACTTTCCACTAAACTATTAACTTTTGAATGATGGAGCTCCATGATTTATTTGGAAATGATTTATGAAGGGTATGTTTTGAAGAAAAGTGGTAGTGATTGGACTTGTGGTTGAATGTTATTTCTGAACTTCAAAAATCCAGGGCCTAATTGTGGTTTTATATCTTGTTATATTATTATATTTTGTTTAATCTGTTGTGTAGCTCCTTTTAACCATGTTAGGAGGGTTGAACCTTTTCTAGCATAGTTTGTAAAAAGACTTTTCCTTAAAACTACAATTTCTTAATAGTTTAAGAAGTTAACCATGGTACATAAAGAATTTGGCTAGATTATCAAAAGCCACTAAGGTTATAAAAAGTCCAGTATAAATTGAAGTCCTCCAAACTAACAACAATAAAAAATAGGGCTTAGAGCACAATAACCACCCCATAGAGCCATCTTAAAAATCCATCACACAAAAACTTACGGCACAAAAAAAAAAAAAAGCTAAGCCTAGCCCACAAGTCACACCTACTTAACTTTTACAATCTCAAAATCAATTTCAAAATCATAACAACCATCAATAAGATAAGAGTTTCTTTTCCTCCAAATGACAACAAATGTGAATTCACAAGGTTCATACGTAAGAAATCTTATGGCCTTCAGTCATTAAGTAAATATTCTTCAAAATTAGCAATCTAAAAGTATGAAAGACACAGTTAGGTATGTAGATACAAAACATGAACCCCAGCATGGTAAATTATACAGTCATTACAAACCCAAAACATGAGAAGCCTATTAGGCTGTGCTCGCCTAAGCCTCTGGCTGATTCCCTTCATGATGGACAGTACCGGAAGGCTTTCCTAAGAATAGTGAGATTATCAGGGTTAGACATAAAGTCTCAATAACCAATTCTCACTTTACAACATATACCAACATGATGGTAAGCAGGTAAAGTAATGACATACATTAAATATCTTAAGTTAAAAACATGCAAACCCATATGCAATAATCAGCATAATAGTTTATGCCCTCATATCTAGAGCCAGTTAGGTTGAAGAAAATAGGGACCATTTTGATGCGGTCCTTTCAGCCCACACCCACCAATCCACAACCCGCCAACCCGCAACCTAGTCCACCAGCCCATTTTTTTAAACAAAAATCTCTTATAATTATAATTTTAATTTTAATAAGAACAAGTTTTATTATTTTCACTTAATTTACATATAACTTTGTATTTTGTTAGAGACTTTGATTCTAAATTTAATTTCTCATTTTCTTTATTGTTTTACCATTTTTATAAATAACTATTAACAATGAATTGTATATTTATATCTCAACTTTTGAGACTAATTTAATTATATAATTATATGAAAAATATAAAAATAAGAAGAATTTGGTCTATAAAAATTTATAATTTAATTAAAAAATTTAAATATATGCGTCAAAAAATTTTAATAAAAAAGATAGGGGTTGGCCTGCCAACCCGCCAACCTACCCCTTGGCGGGACGGGCTGGTAAAATAGGAGCTTGCTAGAATATGGTTCTTTAAAACTGGCCTGCATGGTCTTGTGTCACACCTTACTTATATAGTACCTTAGCATTCATTTAGAACCATTCCAGACCATATTAGATGGTCTTACACTTAAAAATTTCAATTTGGACGTTAATTTTCGGAAAATTACTGTTCACTGTCCAGTTTTCAGATTACAAGTCCAAC